GTATAAATTAATATAATTTCTAATTTTCATTTTTTTTGCACTGTAATTTACTAATTTACATCCCAAAAAATTAGATCAATGTATGTAGTGCCCATAGGCCTTAAAATACCTTGCTGCTGGAGATTTAAAATTTTCTATTTATATCTTATTCCTTAGATCCTTAATTTGTACTTTTTAATTCAATATTGTCCTCAGAACATGCACTGAGCACCAGACTGCTTTAGCACAGAAAATCACAGAATCACAGAATCACTGGATTAGGAGAGATCTTCAAGATCATCGAGTCCAACCCATGCCTTAACACCTCAGCTAGACCATGGCACTGAGTGCCACATCCAGTCTCTTTTTAAACACATCCAGGGATGGTGACTCCACCACCTCCCTGGTGGAAATCATTCCAGATCATTCCAAACCATTCCAGTACTTTATCACCCTTTCTGTAAAAAACTTTCTCCTAATATCCAACCTGTGTTTCCCATGGTGCAGCTTGAGGCTGTGTCCTCTCATTCTGTCAGCTGCTGCCTGGAGAAAGAGACCAACCCCACCTGCCCACAGCCACCTTTCAGGGAGCTGTGGAGAGTGATGAGGTCACCTCTGTGTCTCCTTTTCTCCAGGCTAAACAACCCCAGCTCCCTCAGCCATTCCTCACAGGGTTTGTGTTCCCAGCCCCTCACCAGCCTCGTTGCCTCCTCTGGATGTGCTCAAGTGTCTCAACGTCCTTCCCAAACTGAGGGGCCAGGACTGGACCCAGCACTCAAGGTGTGGCCTCAGCAGCACTGAGTACAGGGGGAGAATGACCTCCCTGCTCCTGCTGGCCACACTGTTCCTGATCCAGGCCAGGGGCCATTTGCCTTCTTGACCCCCAGGGCACAGGGCTGGCTCGTGTTCAGCTGCTGTCACCAGCACCCCCAGGTCCCTTTCTGCCTGGGCACTGTCCAGCCACACCATCCCCAACCTGTGGTGCTGCAGGGGGTTATTGTGGCCAAAATGCAGGACTTGGCACTTGGATTTATTAAACCTCATCCCATTGGACTCTGCCCATCCATCCAACCATTCCAGGTCTCTCTGCAGAGCCCTCCTCCCTTCCAGCAGATTGACACACTCTCCCAGCTTAGTGTCATCTGCATATTTACTAATGAAGGAGTCAATTCCCTCATCCATCAGTAAAAATATTGAACAGAACTGACCCCAGCACAGACCCCTGAGGAACACCACTGGACTGGCCACCAGCTGGCTGCAGCTGATGACCAGCTAATTCACCTGGAATTCTCTTTGATGGAAACTAAGGCATAACTGCAGGAATAAATATATTTTCTTTATTAAGATACAAACTTCAGATCTTACCCCATGTAAATCAGAAAAAGACTTGGGCATACATAAAAGTTACAAATAAGTCATGCAACAACCGTTAGTTTAGATGGTATTAACATACAAAGTAAATGGGACTTAACATTTGGTACTTTTCAGCTAAGTGTTTTATTCTATGAGTCATCCCATTGGGACTGGCATCAATAAAAGTATTAGAAGCTGGATCATAATAAAGGCACAGCAGATGTAAAGAATAACAATCCTTTTGTATCTTTTTCAGCAGCCAAGGAGACTGGAATTAATAGAAAAATATTTGCTGGTATTTAAGGGGTTTTTTTATTCAAATCTGTTACAACAGGTATGTTGGAAAAGGTGACCTTTACATTACTATTACTATCTATAATACTCATACATTATTCATACACCCAAAACTGAATCATACACCCTGCAATGTGCATAGATAGTCAGGTGCCTGCCCAGAAAATTCATTCTCTAGATCAAGACTTGACAGTGGTGCAATTAAAATTAAGAGAAAACAAAACAAAACAAAACAAAAACAAAAACCCAAGCCCTGAACAATAACTTGCTTGAATTATCCCTATTAGGCCATTTTTTAATTGTAGGATATTATATGCACTGTATATCATAATGTAAGATGATTACAGCTGTTGCTAAAGAAGAGAGATTTTAGGAGAGAATGCACAAAGCTGTGTTTTAGCTGCAGGAAGAACCCTTTTCCACATTTGGACACTTCATCCCTCACAAAAACACATTCATTGATAAAACTTTAGGACAGATGGAATTTTCCTTGCTGGTTTTGCTACGGAGAGCAAAATACTTTGTCCAGCCTGATGGAATAAACAATCATTTTCTCATGTTGGCACATAAGAGAAAAACAGAAGTCAGCCAAGAACAGAGATGAAGGTATGGATGCCATCCATAAAAAGAAGAGGATCATGGAGAAGGCAAAGACAAAATGCCTTCTTCATTTCCTTCCACCCTAGTAACAAGGGGCATGAAATGAGGTTGGCACTGCACACCTGAAGAGGAAGGAAGGGAGATGATTCTCCTCACAGCTGCACAATTACAAAGTGCTTGATATGGGATGCTGGTTGTGCTAGAGCTGTGCATGAGTTCAGGGACAGCTTGGACAGGCTCATGGATGAGAAATGCTCAGACACTTCTAAGGGATGGAGAGTCAGCATTTTGTTGCTCACTGCTTCCTACCCAGATCCCAGATAATACTGAAGCAGTTAACCCCATTAAAGTGCAAAGATTTCTAGAAGCCAACACAGAAGTGCTGACGTCTGACAATGCTGCTGAGCTATGAGCTTTCCTGGTATTAGTAAACTAGCATAGAAAACCCATTTCATGCCTGTCAGCTGGAGTAAATCCTCTGACTAATTTGTTACAAATATGAGGATACCTTGCTCTCCCGGTAACCTTGTCTTAAACACTGGAGGGGAGCAGTGGTGTCTCACTGGCTGCTGAAAGGCAGCAAGAACAACTCTAAATAATCACTTCATGTCTTCTGAGAAAAGCCTGGGTAAGTTAAACTTCATTTGATGCTCAGTATTGGCTGGAATTGATCTGTAAAAATTGCATAGCGCACATTTACACCTAGGATGTGAGACAGCAATGTCCTCATCTTAGGTAAAATCAAAAGCCCTCCAATATTTTGTTGTTTTAATTTTAACTTGGCAAAGTCACTGAATCTTGTAAGTGATCTGAAATCTGCACTGCCAGATTGCAGTTGAGTCCATGTAGCAGCAGAGGGTTCAGGTATGGTTTAGGATTATAATACCAGGTTTGAGAAAGTTTTCTAGATGTAATTAAGTTATTCACATTTCTTGATCTCACCTAAGAACATAGGAACCAAAATACGCTGCACAGGTAAAATCTAGGAATTCAAATGATTCAAGAATAATTTATTGTATCAACTAGATTAATTTAAAATTTTGAGTGACCTGCATGTGCAGTAAACTTTCTTTCGGAAGTGTGAAGAAGTGGTGAGGATAGAATGAAATGAGGGTTTGGTCCAATATTATACATAATAGAATTAAATCAGAAGGTAAGATTAGATACTGATTTTCTGTGGGGTCCTTAAATTATAATGAATCAGCCTTTCTTCATCTATGAACTCTTAATGATATAAAAAACAAGCATTAAGTACTTTAAAATGTGATGCTTTATCAGAGATCTGAGTATATCACACATCACAGTTCTGAGTTCTATTGACTATCACTGAACCCAGTTTTGTCCGGGATGACCTAGGATAACTTGGAAGCAGATTGGTTCGGTTTTTTTTTTTTTTTGTATGTGCATCTTTCAAACATTTCTTCATTTTCATTTACTTAACTTCTGTGGGTAACTGGTTAACTGATCAATTTGCAACCCAACAACAGACTTTAATCATGTGAGCAGAGGATAACTCAATTTTAATGTGACTAATTCAACACTACTGGACTAACTTAAAGAGATGAATAGAAACTCCCTGAACTCCATACTAACCTTGATTCTTAGTTTTCTACTGGGGACACAGAGTTGGAATATTTGTTTCTACTATATACAGCTGAAGAAGTCAACCTTTCAAGGCTGGCTTTACAAAAAGAAAACGGAAAGCCTTGAAAATGCCTTTGTATTTAGCATTTGTAAGAATCACTTTAACCCAGTTCACATTTGTGTGTGCTAGATATGGAATAACTCATCAGTCAGTGGAAAGGATTATACCCAAAAGGGAGTCTCCCCTTCCTGTACACCCTTGTCTTAGGAGGTGTCAATAGTCATCCTTATACGTAAAGGGTTTAACATTAAAATGTGGAGATGCAGGTTTTTCATTTGTGTCTACACAGAATTATAGAATCATTTAGGTTGGAGAAGCCCCACATACACCTACAGGAACAAAGATTTCTAGGAAAGTCTGATCCGAAACGTGAACACAATGGTGTAACAATAATATAGTACTACGTGAAGTGACATCATTATCAAAACACTAAAAAATAAAATTACTGCAATTAATACAATTTAATTAGGAAGATTCATGGTGATTGAATGTGGTGACAATCTGTCCCAAGAACTATTCTCCTCGCTTTAAAAGCATTTCTATCACCTTTTCAAAGAAAAGTCAGGTAATTCATCCAGTACCAAAATTAGAGATAAGAGATCTACAAGATGAACAAATAACAAGTGACAGACTAAGACATTTCAATTTTTTTATCATTTTTCTTACTTCTTTCTGCATTTTCTCAAATGACAGTTTGAACCTTGCAAACATATGCTACCTCATCCCAAAACACCTTGTTTGTGTCTTCATGTTGCAACACTGTAGACTTGGATACCAAACAGAAATGTGATTTTTTTTCCTAAAGCTGTAAGTTATTTAAGGCACGGATCAGTTCCAGGAAGGATCATTTTACTGTTAAAACTGTGTAGTGGAATGGTAAGGATGGGGGCACTGCCACTGCCATCGTTGTGATGTTAAGTCACAATCTCAACTCAGCATTGCAGCAAGATGAGCGGCCCCACTGATCCTGAAAGGCCCTGTGTTTGTTTCGTGTTTACATCACACCTCCCAGCATTTTTTAGATTGAAAAATAATAACCAATGGAGGACAATAACAGCCTGTTTGAAACTTTGCATTAAGTGGGTGGAGTCATGCAGCAACTGGTCGGACCTGGTTGGTGTTATCTCGGATGAAGGCTGACAGAAGGAGATCTCTTTTGGCGTTACCCAACGCAGCCACAGATGCAGCTGGGAATCCAAGCACTGTGGAGCAGCAGAGGGTGAGCATCCCTCTGCCACATGCCCTTAGAGGGCAGGCACAGAACTGTCCTGCTTCTCTCCAGGCTCCTCAAAGATCTTCTGCAAGTTTTGCCACAAGCAACAGAGAGGTTGACCCTGAGGACTTGCTCTGAGACTTGCCAAGGTAAACTGGGATGCACTGGAGCCAAGAACATCTAAGGAACTGAAATAAGGATCGTGATGATGAGGGGTAGGGTATTTGGTGAGTGGCTGGAGGAGAGGAGATAGAAGCAGAACGTGCTTGAACGTGCACTTGGTTTCACAGGGATGAACTCTTTACTCCTAACATTGTATTATGGACTTCAGGGGACTGGGAAGACTGGTCAGGAAGGGGGTGCAGGGCTCTGCCTCTGCAGCACTAGTTGGATGATCTGGACATGACATTGGATTTTTTAAAGAATTATCTATTTTCCTTTCAAGTTGCTCATGATAGTAGTGAGACTACACTTAAAAGACTTTCCCTGCTTCACCTTGGAGTAAATGATGGGTTCCATTTACCCCCATGATCACCCATCAGCTGGTGATTAAGTGATCAGGCAGATGAGAGCTGATAAGCATGCATGGCTGATAGCAATGATCAAAATCAGTTTTCAAGACCAGCTGTATTATTTATAAGCACAAATTAAGTTTGTTATTTGGTTTGTTTTTTTAAAATACAATCATTGATAGCAGTTCTGTTCTTTTCTATGAAATCCCAGGACAAATATTGTTGCAAATCCTGTAAGAATTTAATTTGCATAAACTGAAGCTCTTTAGAGAAAAAAGTTTCTGTTTGTCAAGGACAGGAAGATGATCTTTAAGGATTCCTAAAGGATACCCTGATTATGCAAAATCTCCATGACAAACAGAAATAATCCCAAAGCTATTTTCTTGAAACCTTACTATTTTTGAGGAGGAGTTGCGTTTTTTGGATCTAACTCAGTAAATGGCTGAAGTTTTGAGGGGTTTTAATGGGTTAAGGGAACCCTTAGGTGAATTCCAGATTCTAATTTCAGTTATGCTTGAATTGTGTTCTTATTCACTTCAGATGCTTGCAGTATGGATCACCACTATTTTTCTTCTCAATGCAGCCAGAGGTGAGGCATATAATGAATAAAGTCTAAAAAGAGTAAAAATTATGTGCAGCTTACGCCAGGATATCTATATTCTAGAAAAAGCCTATTCATTGGAATAGATTTAACATAATTCTTCATTAGGACTCATTAGTTTTTAATTCTGTAAAGGTTTTTGCAGCTAGCAAACAGAATGGGAATCAGAAAGATATTTTTATATGGAAATTGATACTGAAATTCTTCCAGAACTTTATCCCTCTACCCACCCTCAACTCACTCATGGTAGCTACAACCCTGGTAATGAGAGCATAGGCACCTACTCTTCACAGAGCCATGCAGAGAACAAGAAAATAGTCTTGGTCCAAAATACCTCTTTTTTTTTCTTTAATCACAGGAAAGAATACACTTTTTAATAGCAATAAAAATTACTTGGGATTTCACAACTGTTGTGCTATAACAGTGTGGGAAATGACAATTAATGGTGACACCAGCATGTCATATTTGCACCATTACTGCAGTAAAAGCACAATAGAAATTGTGAAACCGGTCCTTCAGGCACAGACCACACTTCCTGAGGCTGTGCTTTGCTGTAAGCTTCCACTCAAATTCCACTTTATTGCTTCCACTAAAATCTTACAGTGATGAAAAAAAAAGGAGATGCTTAATGTCCATTGTGGAGCCACCAGAAGTATATATTTTAATGTTTTAGTTTCTTTTTGCTCCTTTGTGAACTGTTGCACAAGAAATAACAATTTAGATAATCTCTGAAGCTTAGGACTCATTTAAAGGACTACTCTGTGCTGACAGCAAAAACTGGTTTCTTCCCTGGATCAAGATTTTATTGTCTTTTTCCAAGGCCTGTGTTAACACTATATTTGACCAAACACATCCTGAGTTGGCCAGGCTGAGCTCCAGGCTCTGTTTGCAGCAGGAAGAACTCGTGAAGTTCGAGCCCTTGCTACAAGCACCAGAGGACAAATGAGCCCCTCAATGAAAAATGCTCAGAAGTTCCCTCCTAACCCAAATCAGCCTTGTTTGGCTTTCCTGGTGTAAACCCTCTCCTGCCAGGCTCATGCACAGAACCTGTGACATTCCCAGAACACTACTGTCTTTTTCTTTGTGCACCCCAGGAAGGGAAGTTTGCTACAAAAGGCTTGGATGCTTTTCAGACAGCCCTCCATGGTCTGGGATCCCAGGAAGACAACTGGCAGGCTTGCCCAGCTCTCCAGATGCTGTGAACACAAATTTCCTTCTTTACACCAGGGATAACATGATGAAATATCAAGTAAGAAAATGCTTTGTTTTTAAATACTGACAGTGTACAATACATTCAATAAATTGTAGGGACAGTTTCTTTTCTCACATATTTTTGTTCATAAGACTCCTGGGAGAACCTCCAATTCTATATTAGACACATGATAATTTTCTTCCATCTTTTTTCCTTTTTCCTCATTTCAGCTCTCAGAGGAACCAGGTATATTTACAACATATTAATCACAGCCCTCTAACACAAGTTATTACAGGTAAAAAGCTCCAGAATTACGGGGTTCTATATAAATGGCAGTCACAATCAGCAGAGGTGTTTATTAAGTCACTTTAGAACAAGTCCAACTCCTCCAGCTGAGAGGGCCTATGAGGTTTTAACAAATCAGTCTTTCACTGAAGGTGAGATTCCTGCTAATTAGTGTATGACATCCCCCTTTTAAGTCAACAAAACCATAACAAAAAATATGTATGAGCCAGTACTTGGAATTTCTTTAAAAGAAAATAATGTCTTTTTTCTCAATACACACCAAAATACCTACAGCCTCTGAATTTGTAAGCCCTCTGGGCTTTCCCATAAAATATAAATGAAGCAATGAAGGTCTTATCTTCAAAGGAAAAAAGAAAGAAAAATAGGTATAGTTTCAAAGTCAACCACATAATACCTTTCAGAAGATGCTATCTTTGCATTTCTATGGCCATAAAATAAAAATCTTGTACTTACATGGTGTGTTGTACTTATATATCACAAAGCATTGTGCAAAAGATGCCAGTATCATTAGTTCAATTAACCAAAGAGAAGCATTTGTTGAAGAGATTAATTGATTTGCCCTCAAAAGTCAGTTTAGGAATGAGAAATAAGACCCATTTCTTCTGGGTCCAGAACTATGCCTTAACCATTGGGGTACTCTGCTCTTTATCAAAATGTACAGTGGGATGGAACAGTCACATCCTTGTTGTGTTTGTTGGTTGTTTGGCTTTTTTGGCACAGAAAATTTCAGCCACAAATCCTTCAGCCATAAAAGCTTCGAATTTCCGAGCACACAGGAAAACTCGTTTCATTATACACGGCCACCTTGCCGGAGCAGATCTCCCCTGGATAACAAGCATATGCAGGGTAGGTGCAGCTATTGTTTGACACTTTGCTTGTATTTGAAAGTCTAAATATCCACATCTGGCTTAAAATTCCCAAGTAAAATGTACACCTCTGTTCTCTTGTTAGTTCAGGGGATATATAAAGAACACAAAAGTCAGAGTGAAGTTCTGTTCCACATGACCACTGTCATGTTCCTGGCTATGAGTACAGAGCACTTCAGCCTTCTGCTGAGTGCCCTTTTGCTGCATTCACCTCCACAGGGAAAGCTATAATAAATTGATTTTTCAATTCCTTGCCAATAATAAAGAAGGGGGGAAAAGAGTGAATTTTCTCACCTCAGCAAAAGGTCACAATAAATGTGTCAGTTTGAGTGACACGTTTGATCTAATAAAACCAAAAGGCTTTGTTCAGCAGATTGGTTTCATTCTACCCTGGCACACTTCAAAAATGAAATTGTTTCAGAATGAAAAACAAAATCAGAAAGTTTTATTGGCAGAAGTGTCTAAATAGAATATTTTGGTTATAATGTATAAACTTCAGGGCTGAAAAATTCAAGCACAAATTTGAGAATCCTTTTAGATGATCCAAGAATAAACAATTTGAGGAATAAAGCTCGGACCTATTTTGGTAACAGGGATACTGTCATTAAGAGAAGTTGGTATGTTAGAGCCAACCAAGGCATCTGGAATGGAAAACAGAGCTGAAGGAAGCTTGTGAGTGTCCTCTAATTACTGGTTCCACTCTGCCTCCTTGTGTTGATCTTCAGCATCAGTAGGAATTACAAAAGATGTGTTATCATTGGTCACACGAACAAAACAAAATGTAGTTTACATATGCTCTGCTACAATTGCCATTAATGTCTGTTCCCTTCTCGCTGTTGTTTTCCTGTTCCCCACCAGTCCATGTTTCACTCTGAAGATGTGAACTGCATTTTGACAGACTGGAGGGGCGGCTCCAGTGGTCTGTACACGGACGCTGTCAACAACGTCCGCATTGTGGGGGCTGAGTTGGAGTACCTGGTGAACTTCCTCGAGGTAAAAAAATGTCCCTGGAATGTGCCCAGTCCACATGGTAAAGGTCATGCTTAGAGTGGCATCTTTTGGTTTGATTCAATAGAGCAAGGAAGGACAAGAAGTACAAGGTAAACCAGGTCCAAATGTTATAAAAGGGCTCTAATCCCACAAAAATGAAAATACCTTCTTTAGTGTGGTAACTGATTTTGAAAAACTAACATGACTTTTCAGCAGTTCAAAAGGTTTGAAAATCTGAAATGAGAAATTAAATTCCCTAGATTTAGTGTATGAGAATAAGATGGTCAATAGCCATGAACATCCTGCAAATGGAGCAGGGTGGGATGACTGGGTAATTTCTTCTCCTTAGGTAGAGATCCCAACACCCAGAACTGTAACTTTCCACCAGCACACTCATCTCCATTGCCCAGTGATCTGGCCATGTCCTGGCACTGCATGGGGCCATGCTGCAGTGTCACTGCCTTGTATACCCATACATACTGGCTTTTTCTCCTTTCCATAAACCTTCACAGACAGAGTATGGCTACTCTCCTGCCAACATCCATTTCATCGGCCATAGCCTTGGAGCACACGTAGCAGGGGAGGCAGGGAGGAGGAAACCTGGCATTGGAAGAATAACAGGTACTGCAGATATTTCAGCTGATAATATTTTATATTTTCACTCAAGAATCACTGCTGCTTTATAAACACACAATACAGAATGCAGCATGGTTTGTCATAAATAACAGTGTTCAACCACTTGGCACACTAGTTGTGACACAGCCACATATAGTTTTCTTTTAAAAACTCACTACTTTCTGCTTTTCTTCTCCCCCAGTCAGTTCTTTTCTCTGCATAGACATGTCTAAGCCGTGCACACAGTGAGCAGTCACACAAGAAATTCAGGGAAAACAGACTGAGAGCTGTGTTTCTTTATCTCCAAAGAGACCTCAGTGACACTGAAGTGAAGGGATACCATTTTCAACCAAGATATTCTAGAAATAAAAAAAGACCTCTTGCGAAATAAAAATTCATAAATAAATCTACATGCTCAGAGTAACGTATGAAGATTTCGTATTTTTCAACAAAATGAGAAAAGAAACAGCAGCAAACCAAACTTTTTCTTATACCATTGTTCCCAAAAGTAAGCCAAGCAGCCATCAGCATTTTACTGTGCTGCAATGCCTTCAGTCAGCTTTCTGTTGATACCCTGCCTGTTTTTCTAGCTGTGGAACACAAAATGGATTTTTATATGTGGAGTAAAGGAAGAAATATAATCCCATCTATAGCATGTGGTGATATACATACACTATTATTTACTCAATCAAATGTATCTCCATTCATTTAGGTTTGGATCCAGCTGGGCCCCTTTTCCAGTACACTCCCGCAATGGTTAGGCTGGATCCTTCAGATGCAAAATTTGTTGATATAATTCATACTCATGCTGGTCATCTTTTCTTTGACTTTGGTAAGTTCTCATTTAAAGGCTGCCATTGGCACGCAGGTTGGCTACAGAACACCTGAGAGTGACCTGCCAGGATCCATTGTGCATTTCAGCTCCAGGGATTCTTCAGACTTGTGGCCACTTGGATTTTTACCCAAATGGTGGGAAGAAGATGCCAGGATGCAACCAGCTTCGTGTACCTCCTGCAACTCGGGATATCAATGACCTGATGAGAGGTAAATTTATTTTAAAGAAGTAATGCCTCATTATAACTTAGTTAGAAAAAAAAGCTAGGATAAGCTAAGACCTTTATATAGCTCAGATTTGGAATAGGGAGACAATGCTCAAAAAGAGAACATTTAAAGCTGCCTCTGAAATACCCTCCAATTTTCTTTTGTATTAACCAAGGCAAATTCTAGATGAAAACTTCAGTTAAAGCATGCAAAATTGTGCATCATGAGCTTTCTGAGAGCCTGCCACTGTGCTGACAGGCTGACCTCAGTGGGAATTCCTCACATGAAGGACTGGTAAAATTTCATTCATGGATTATCCAAAAATGAGTATTTTAAAATCAGAGCTCTCCTTTTCCCTAGGAAGATATTACTCCCAATACTACTGGGATTCATCCATGCCATCAAGTTTTAGTCTCTTCAAAGGGAACAGCCCAAGGTTAGAAATATAAAAGATGATAAAATGACTGCTTCATTAGTAGTTCTTCAAAGAAAGCTGGGCAGTTAATCAGAATTACCCTGGGATCCAGTACAATAGATCCACAAAATCCTGTCTTCTCATCCTAACCTAGAGAAATGAGAGTATCTGTTATTCACAGCTAAGTGTTTTGAAATCCCCACCACTAGTTAAATAATTTGCTTTCAAAAGTGGACTCCCTTAGAAATGGTTGAGAACTTAGTAACAAAGAACTGAAAGTGGGCTGTGCTCAAAGTCACTTGGAACAGAAACTCTTTCCAATTGGAATGCATAAAAATGCCTGCATTTAAATAAAAAAATCAAATATTTTCCAGAGACATTTCACAAGGCTCTTTGCAATGCTTTGTCATGAAGGAGAAACTCAGCTCTATTGAACGCGAGCAGATGGAGTTGGTTGTTCATGCAGCTCCTAAAAATAGACACAGTCTTAACTCCCTCCTCTTGGTTAAACCATACTTTGTTTGGTAACCTCTCTTTTGTTGGTTAATGTTTGCATTTATGTAGTGTTTGTATGTATGAAGTGCTTTAGAAATAATATTTAATGATTTTTTTTCCCCTACAGTTTTTGATGCAGTAGAAAGACTGTAGGTGTTAAGTGAATTTGCCACCAACATCAATTGAGCCAGCAGTAAGAGCTGAGGGTTTAAAAGCACAAACCCTTCTGAATTCAAGATGGAGCTACTAAGAAAACATACTCAAGAAGCCTTGATGATGCAGATTATTTTCAAGAAAAACAGACAAGTGTTTTTCAGAGAGATTTTACTGTGGGTTTCTTTTCTTTCCTTACGGAAAGAACAATGTGTCAACTGGTCAACACCAACTGGTCTATCTTTAAGATGTGTAAATATTGCTTTTAGGGGAAATTTTGATTTCACTACAAACTGTGCTAGCTTGAAACTACTTCAGTGCCTCCCAGAACTTCCCCTGGTGGTTTAGTGAACCCCAACCATGGGCTGAAGTGGAAGAGAGCCCATTTTTATACGAACAACCTAACTTTAGTGTATTGTGTTTTGATATAGGAGAGACCTTGGAATCAAGGAAGATTCATTTGCTATAAGGGACATGTAAATATAACTCAAATAGCACTTTCTTCTTTCCTTACTGTCTGCTTGTAAATTTCAGTCAGATGGGAGAAAGTACTTTTTTCAAAGAGTTCTGACAAAATCAAGGACACACTGCCAAATATCCTGCTTTTCAGAGGATTTCACAGAATTGCTATCAAATGCCTGCAGATTTTATAGTGCTTAAAACCACCAAAAGTCACTGAATTTAAAATAATTGCTAAAATTACCTTTAATTCTAGAAATTAGTGGAAACTGTGATTTTACAGAATTCCATGTTTGGTAACTGTAATAAAAGGAAAATAACTTCATTGTAACTACTGTATGCTTTACACAAACGGTAGGTATGAAATATTCCAGTCTTTGAAATATCAAAGGGGAATACTCCCAAATGCTTCTTGTTTCACCTTGGTGATCTCCACCTCTGTTAACAGCTACCTCTTTCCAACAGAAAAAAAAATATATGTAGGCATAAGTACACCATCTTAGTACAAAGCCAAATAATTCACACTTTAAATGTCTTTTAATCATTGCTACTTCTTTTACCTCAGACATCACTATATATGCAAGTGTTTTTGAGGAAAAGAGACACCAAAATGTTTATTTGGCATGGACTTAATGTATTCCTTTAATCACTTTTTACCTGTTGGGGTTTTTGTTGTTTGTTTTTGTTTTTTTTTCTTTTCCCCAGCATACAGATCTTTTGGATGTGGACATAAAAGAAGTCTCAGGTATTATGCTGAGAGCATCATGACTCCAAATGGATTTGTGGGGTATCAGTGTGACACATACCAAGAGTTTGTGCTGGTAAGTACCAGGTCTGGATTTATCTGAGGTCCTATAGCCCTGCCCTTCTTCTTTTAATAATTTCTGGGACAACTTCTACACTTGGGATCATGGGATGTGGGCACAGGGGACACTCAGAACCGCTACCTTCATTCAGACCATACCCAAACCCAAGCAACTTCACAGTAGAGAAGTGATAATGATCATTTAGCCTTTTTTTTATCAAATGCACAAATAGCCAAAGGTCCACAAATACCAGTTTGAACAGAACCTCCCACATACCAAAACTGAATTACCTAAATATAGCAACGTTATTTTTTTCTGACTGCAATTAATCTGCTTTCATGCTTATCTTATTTTACCTTCTTTTAATGGATGTCAAGGTCTTGATCTGATTGTCTGGTCTGTGTAGGTAGATTAAATTCATTAAGGCTCTGCATGGGAATAAAGGATAAAGAGGTAATGGAACAAATCCCAAACCAAAAGCCCAGCCTTCAGTATTCCTAAACATAAATATTTTTACCATATGAGTGAGATATCCAACCAGACCCCCTTGGAAAATTGGTTATCCATCCTATAGCCAACAGAAAACCTTCCAGTGGATCCTCTGAAAGATGAATATATTACCTGGATTTTACAGATCAGGTAGCAAGGCACAATGTTCTTTATGGTATTTACTTCTGGTCTCTGCAAGACCACAAGGAATTGGGCCAGATTTCCAGCCTGTTTCTCTCTGATTTTCAACAAGATGAAATAAGCTGACTGACCACCTCAACTCCTTTTCCAACCACAATGATAAATACTGAAGATATGATCTGAACTGAGAATCAAGAACCTAAAAAAAACCCAAACAAACAAACAAATAAACAAAAAACACTGGGGAAAAGCTGAAACACCCTAATTTCCTAAAATTTAAGTAGTGAGATTAAAATAGATGATGTCTTATAACACACATTGTTATTTTCCCCCCCAGGGAGACTGCTTTCCATGTCCAGAGGAAGGATGCCCACTGATGGGTCATTATGCTGATACATTTTTACATAAAACTGCAAAAGAAGAGCAAAAGGTTTATTTAAACACAGGGCCCTCCCCTCCATATGCTCGTAAGTGCTCATTTTGTGGTGTATTCTCAAGTGCCAATGAATTATGTGTGAAAAAGGACCTTACACTTCTGCAGAGCTGCTGCAGTTGATGAGTTGCACTCAATAAAACATCTAGAATTTTGGGTGTTAGGAACATGCAGTACCAGCATTATTTAGGAAAGCTGAGATAATTGTAAAAACAGAACAAATGTTTTTTTTTGGTTAAACTTGGTTATTACATGATGGCTTCAAAAATTCTATAAAGCTGAAATTGGGAGGAATTTTATGCTGGAAGTGCATAATTTCAAGTTTAAAAATGTTGCATTGTTTTTATTGGCAAAAGTTTATAAAACTGGATCATTTCAGGATATTTTTGCCAAGCTCATCAAGGGAAAATGGCAGGGAGCAATAAGAAATACAGTTTCAGTTGTGATTAATGTAGAAACAGCCTCTGGACTGGGAAATAGGAAAATTAATAAGTGAACTGCAATTTATCACAGGTGTTTTTTGCTTATAAGTGCATTTGTGCATTCCTTTCCTCTTTCTTAGAGACACTGAAACATGTAAGAAATTTAACCCTTAGGAAAGAAATCTCCTTACAGCTGTAATCCATTTGATTTTACTTTCCAAGGCTGGAGAAAAGAGATACATGTCAAAGTATGTGCAACAGAAACCATGAAGGGAAATATAGATGTAGCCTTGACTGGAACTAATGGGTTCAGAAAAAAATATACCATTGACAAGTAAGTTTAATGTGGCTGTTGAAAACGTGGCTCTATCACATGGGATGTATACACAACTATTTTTACATGTGTCACCTTGTTCTGGGTGGTCTGGTGATTTACACTGGTAATAAAAGTAGCTGATAAGTGATTGAAGTTCCCTGTGCTGCAGATTGTGGTGAAAATCTGTTTGCAGGTGCCTCTTGATCTGTCTTTTCTTCTGTTGTCTGAGGCTGAAGTTAGCATAGCAAAGTGGGAAAGAGCTCTGTGGCTGCTGCTGGACCCAAACATGATTTGGTGATCTCTGAGAAGACGAAGAGCTCAGTGATGTACATTCATCTATTCATCCCCTCCTCTGGGGAATGTGTGAATAAGAAAATTGCAGCTTGCCCATGGACTGTGCTGGAATATGGAATTCCTGTCCACTCAGCCTGGCCCGTTCCAGTAAATGTGAATTTAAATCTCAATAAACAGATGCTGGTCAGCAAACCAGCTTCAATATTACAAAACCAACCTCCTCTGTGTTTGAACACATTACTGGTCTGTACCAGGAGTCCCTTTGGTTATAAATACACCACTGCAGCAATAAACCCACAGATAATTTCAATGCTAATGTCACACTGCAACATGTGTTCTGTTAGCGTGAACAGTCATAGCACAGAAGACACAAATGTAAACTATAATTTTCAATTTCCTTCATGGTTGAGAGCAACCAGAAACATTGAGAGGACTTTCTGACTTGGATTTGTTTGAAAATAGATCTTATTTTTTAAAAGTAATGTATAGAATAAATTACAGCAATACTGACAAAGGCTGTGCTAACTGATGTGTGTTTTCATCCTGAAAGGCACAGGAATTTCAGCAAATCTATAAAAAATACTCATAAAATTTGTAGTATTCAAAGCCTCAACTCTGATGGCACCCCATAGCTCATCTCCCTTCCTGCCTATAGTCAAGTTTTCTTCTCCCCCTCATGTGTGTAGAACACAGAACATCACTTCTGTGCTTTTCTTCTGGCAGGGGAACTTTCAAACCAGGGAACACATACCTGAACTACATTGATACAGAAATTCCCGGGAACATATCAAAAGTTGAGTTTCTCTGGAAAAAGCATCTAGGTCATGTAGACAGAGGCTGCATGGGAGCTGAAGAAGTCAGAATAATATCTGGGGAAAACGGAAATATGTAAGTACATCATCTAATGATGTAAAGGTAGAAGTTTTTCTCCTGAATTGCAGTTTCATGTGTCCAGCTCTCGATCAGCACAGAGCACAGCACACAGGAACAGCTCTGCAGAGTTCCACACTCCCTGCCTGGGCAGGGTGCTTCGTGCTGACTCCAGCCAGAGCGATGGGCCTGGCAGCCACTGGCATCTGCAGGATGGGAGATACACTTTTGGAACATACCTCCTGTTTAGTTTGAACCAAAATGAATCCAGTTTATGCCTCCACCCCTCTCTGTTGTGTAAGCCAAAGTGTGGTAAGTGGGGAAAATGGAGGAAACAATTCCCTTCAAGAGCACACTCCTGTCCCAAATGGAAATTCTGAGCAAGCCTGATCAAAAAGGCAAAGACATCCTAAAAGTTAAAAGTTAGTCATGGACTAGTAAGTTTTAAAAAAAAAATTGATAACACACACTCTATGCTCTCAGCCTACTGCAACTTATGCTTTGACCTAACATGAAATAAAACCAGGGTTTATATTGATTACGTTGGCTAGCTGCTATGAAAATGTCCCATTTTACTGACAAATATTTCCTGAAATTCTCCCCCTTCCCAGGTCTGTGTTCTGTGGGTGTGGAACTGTGCAGCCCAGCATGTGGCAAGCCCTGGCTCTTTGCTGAGGGCCAGAAATGCCCAGAACACTGCACCAACCCTCACCAGCTGGAAGAGGACACTGCAGTCAGCAGCAAAGGATTATTTTCTGTACCTGAAACAGGCATCTTCTTTATCAAAACTGAATTGTATTACTGAGGAACTTGAACTTTCTGGGAGCCTTCAATAAGAAACTATTTTCTCTTTGCCAGTGAAACAGAATTTTCCACCTCTAGTTTGCCTTTGTGACAATACTGAAGTCAGACTTGAGCTACATCGTTTGGATTAGCATTGCCACTCCAAATTTGTCAGCATTTGGATTGTATTGGTTAGCAAAACCAGACCACTAAGAGTTATCAGCATCAGCCAAAATAAATTAAGGTTCCTTTGTTTCAACACAAGGTACCCACAAAAATTCTTTAATTTTTTAATTACCAGCTGTTATCTAAGGCATGCAACTGGTTTTTGCATCTGATGTGAGGTTTATCATTTGGGTGCAGAAATTATGTGTATCAGTCACATTGGGCAATTCTGTTGTGTCCCATGCTGACAACCAGCTATTCCAGAATGCTCCAGTGAGGTTCACCAGAAGGTGTTGCTGTGTTTCACAAGGCTGAACGTGGCTGATGAAAAGGTGTGTTTCAAATTATGCAGCAATACTTCTTTTGAGATATCAGAACCCCGTGACCTCCAGTGAAGATTGCTAAAGGAGCTTGCTCAGGATATAAATCAGATGTCTGCCTTCTCAGAGTCACTCTTCAGTGCCCTTTATTTATCATCTCCCCACGAGTAGGACAGGACCAGAAACCATCTTGAGCAGGAAATTCATCCTTCTTTACCCCTTAAGGATATTTCTTGGCAAGATGCCCTTCTTGACTAAGAAGGGTCTCCCCACACTTGTGATCCCCTGGAGTTATAAAAAAAACCCAGGTACTTCTACACAGTTTGGAAATATCTGTAACACAGAAATATCTGTAATTGCAACATCTTGAACATCCTCCATAAACCGTGCATGGATCTCTGCCCCAGAGTTGCACAAACTAAGGAGACTATTATTTTGCCTTTCTTACAGTCAGGAAGTGAAGCAAAATAAATGTAAATATTTTCCTCAGGACCACAAAACCTGTGCAGCAGGGGCAGGGAGTGGGCTCTATGGCATGAACAGGAGTGTGATCAGTGCCATGCAAGGCATCACTCCTCATAGGAAACAAACAAAATCCTATTGGACTCAAGACTTCTTTAAAGCCCATCCTCTCCTGCCTCCATACTTGACTCTTCCCCTTTTGCAGTTCTAAAAACTAATTTGATGTTTTTATGAATAATAAATCATATTCTTTCAAAAATACAAGTTTCATTTTGTTTAATTTTAAGCTATAGATTTCAACAGCGCTCTGACAAAACGTGACAGTTCATTTAGGCTGCTGACTTGTGCTAAAAGTATGGCACAGCTGATTAGACAAATTAAAATAAGCATTTTCTCACCCAACTTTTTCAACTAAAACTAGAACCTTGCATTAATTTCTTGCCCTTGTATTGTTCTGTTTTCATTCTTGTTATATGCTATTTCTTGAGTAAATTTTTATTCTTTGGTATAGTAGACATCAACACTGCCCTTCTTTACTAATATAGTTTTAGACAGAACAAGAGAGATTTATTTTTTTGAGATAAAGGTGAAAAACCCCACATCAACAGCAGCTGCGTGTTGCTCATGGCAAATAATCTTCCTCCTTGTTTCTTTCTGTAAAATTTCCATAAAATTTAAATTCTGTAAAATTTAAAATTATTCCAACTATGAAATCTTTGGATACTATCACTTCATATTAATGGTGCTAGTCCAAATAATGCAAGGGTTTGGATATTTCATGAGACAGTCTGCCTTTGACAAAGCTCTGGACAGACAATTCTTTCCAATCTTTGAAACAAAGTGAGCCATCTTTTCAGAACAATTTAAATTGAATCTTGAAAATGCCAAGTGAGACACACCACTCCATATGTTTGGCTGCCATGTGGAAAGGTAGTGCTTTTTGAAATCAAATGTGCATCATTTCAGGGATTTAATGGACATATTATGATTTGCATTCTGTCTTTTACATTATTTAAATATTGTGCCAAATTATAAATGCTTCAGAATTACAATACAAATTTAATTTAATTCTCCTTTAGCATGTGTTCACTACCAAAATTATAACAAAGATAAATTAGTAAGAAAGCCATTATGAAACATTCAGCCTCAGTCACTTTGTTCTCTTATGGCACTCTCGACAATGGGATAAGATAAAACTACACAAACAAACCTCTTAAACCTTTTATGGAAAAAGGAACAGCAATAATTAGCAATCCAAACTATCTGGGACACTTACATCATCTTTATGTACTTTATATGTGACAGAAAAGTAATCTTAGAAGAAAATACATGTTTGTCATAAAGGCATGTGTGCAAGTGTACTAAAGAGAGAAGAAGGGCCATTTTGGTCAGAATTTACTGGTACCAAAAATAAAATACTCTACTGATTGGCACAGCAGTTTCTCTTCTTTCCAAAATCACAGCCTATCAAAATGCCCCTCATAATGTTTGTGAGCCCAGAACTAAAATAATAATTAAAATTAACTAAATAGGACTAGTGGACAGAGACCTCAGTGTTCAGATTGTGCAGTTGTCTCTTCTCCTACTTTAGATCCTATTTTAATCTGTGACTTTTTAGGTTTTTTTCATTCTCCTGTAATCCACTACAATATATTGATAAAATCCTTGCAAAATAACCGGGAATTTGCAGGAATATTCCTTCCAACATCTTCTGGTCTTTCATCTTTGTTGTTTTTTTTCCTGCAAAGGGTTCCAATCCTCAAATATCTGTTTGTTTTACAGAAGATTAAACAAGAAAAAAACCTTTGAAAAGTAATTTTGCTGAGACTTCAATGCAGTCAGGGTATTTTGTAAAGCCCCTGGGTCTAACAGCTGTTTGACACTCTGCTGGGACAGAAGAAAAACCCAAAAATCTTTATGCATTCCCAACATTTATTTG